AACTCTGCCTAACACCATGTACAAAAGTAAGATCAAAATGGATTAAAGGCATCAACATCAGACCAGAAACCATAAGGTACATGGAAGATAAAGTTGGCAAAACCCTCCATGACATTGAAGCTAATTGTATCTTCAAAGATGCCATGCCACTGGCCGAGCAAGTGAAAACAGAGATAGATAAATGGGACTATCTTAAACTAAGAAGCTTCTGCACCTCCAAAGAAACAGTGACCAAAATACAAAGACAGAATGGGAAAGGATATTCGCCGAATACACATCTGACAAGGGGTTGATATCCAGGATATACAAAATACTGGTTAAACTCCACAAGAAGAAAACGTCCAACCCCATCCAAAAATGGGGCAATGAAATGAACAGAAACTTTCTCAAAGAAGAAATCCGAATGGCAAAAAAGCACATGAGAAAATGCTTTACATCATTAATCATCAGGGAGATGCAGATCAAAACCACAATGAGATACCATCTCACACCTCAGAGACTGGCCCACATTCAAAAGAACAAAAGCAACCGATGCTGGCGTGGATGTGGCGAGAAAGGGACACTCCTTCACTGTTGGTGGGAATGTCCACTGGTTCAGCCCTTCTGGAAAACAGTATGGACGATTCTCAAAAAATTAGAAATTGAGCTCCCATTTGACCCAGCAATACCACTCCTGGGAATATATCCCAGAGAGGCAAAAATGTATAGTCGAAGTGACATCTGCACTTGTTTGTTCATTGCAGCACTCTTTACAATAGCCAGAAACTGGAAGAAACCTGAATGCCCAAGAACAGATGACTGGTTAAAGAAACTTTGGTACATCTACACAATGGAGTACTATGTAGCTGTTAGAAAAGATGAAGTCATGAAATTTACATACAAGTGGTACAATATGGAAAGTATCATGCTAAGCGAAATGAGTCAGAAAGAGAGGGATAGACATAGAAAGATTGCATTCATCTGGGGGATATAAAGTAACAAAGTATGAGATTAATACCCAAGAATAGCTGAGATCAGCACCAGGAGGATTACTCCATAACTTAGAGGCCAGCCGGGTATCCTAGAGGAAAGGGCAGTTCAGATATACAAGGGAGCACCAAATAAAGGATGTTTGGAGGATCCTCCCAGGAGGGGAGATGCATGTCGAAAGTAGACTATGGACTGAACATGTTTGCCACTCAATGCCTCTTTTGCAGACCAGAACACCCAAAAGGAGAGAGAGAACACAGGGGATTGCCCTGCCACAGAGACAGGGGGGATGGGGGGATGGGGGTGGGAGTGATATTATCCATGGTGGTGGAAAATGGGCACTGGTGGAGGGATAGGTATCTGATCATTGTATAATTGAAACCAAAGCACAAAAAATTGTAAATCTACAACTTTAAAAAAAAATAAAATAAAATAAAGGGAAAAAAAAAGAAATTGAAAAAAAAAAAGAAGCAGGAGAAACCAAACATAATGGCCTATGTGTTAGTGATTTCATTGATGTGAAATGATTGAAATAAGCACATGTTATCACCAATAATGTGTATTTTTGTTTAAGTGAGTTTAAGCTAAAAGCGACTTGATAGGTACTGGTAATTAAGTAGGAATTACTTTTAGGGACAGAAAAGAGTTAATGAGTAATAGTGCTAAAAATAGATCCACAAATGTGAATATGGTAAAACTATAGAAGGAATATAAAATATCTTATGTACAAAATAATATAAAAAATTGATATGTAGATACAGCCGAAGAGAAGGGCCACATGGAGGGCGGGATCCACAGCTCCCGGAGGAAAAAAAAATAAAAAAAAAACAGGTTCCAAAAAGAGCCGAGATCATCGGGAAGTCCCAGATGGGGTAGGTACCGCATCCCGCCTCCCCCAGATGGAAGCCCGGTGACCAGAAGCCTCTACAAGAACAGCTCGAGTATGCGGGTACTAGGACTTTTCCTCAAAACCGCGTGGCCGCTTATGCGGCCGCGCAACATCTCTCTGTATACAAAGTGATCAATGGGAAGTAAACCACCCAACGTTTCTCCCTGAAAATCAGAGGTAAGTTGGAGCACGGCCACAGCCCCAGAAACACCAGGACTTAATGCAGAACCCAGCAGCTTGGAGCAGAAAAGTGAATGGACTATGCGTTAATCCAGGCCATCATGTCTGCCCGGAGGGGAAAGGGTGTTGCTCCCTTCCACCCTCCTCCCTCTGGAAAGAAAGATGGTGGCCACATGGGAGCCTTGTGGACAGCAGGTATGAGCCTTGGGTGTGGGGGCCACTAAAACCTCATGGGAAGGGGGTCGTTCCGGTCCGTCCTTCACGCCCTACCGAGGTCAAGAGTTGCCCCCCGCGAGTGGCTCTCCAGCACAGCCACGGCCCCAGAAGCACAAGGACTTAATGCAGAACCCAGCAGCTTGGAGCAGAAAAGTGAACGGACTATGCGTTAATCCAGGCCATCATGTCTGTCCTGAGGGGAAAGGGTGTTGCCCCATTCACCCTCTCTTCTCTGGAAAGAAAGATGGCGGTCGCATGGGAGCCTTGTGGATAGCAAGTATGAGCCGGGGGTGTGGGGGCGACTAAAACCTCATGGGAAGGGGGGCGTTCCGGTCCGTCCTTCACGCCCTACAGAGGTCACCAGTCACCAGTTGTCCCCCACGAGCGGCTCTCCAGCACGGCCACGACTCCAGAGCACAGAAACCAATTTCTTAACTATCTGACTTTCTGTAGAAATACTTCCAGGGTAAAATAGCAGAAATCCAAAACCAACATTTAATTATTGAACCCAGCTGTAGAAAGCAAATCACTTCACAATGCTTTTTCAGCATGTCTGATTGGGGGGGGGGGTAAACTCTAAATAATAGTGGTGAATCTTTTATTGAAACAATGAATCTAATCAAAGCAGATAGAGTGTTAACTAGAATTCATCTGCCTCACAGGGACTGGGAGGGGTGGGGGGTGGGGTTTTATTGGGGTTCTTCATGGTAAAAAATAAGTATTGGTAAAGGGAAATGTGTTTGATATTTGCATGACTGAGACCTAAACCTGAAAGCTTTGTAACCTTTCCCACAGTGATTCAATAAATAAATTAAAAAATTGAAATGTATAAAACAAGAAATAAAATATTCTAAATAAGTATTTTTTAAAAAAAATTTTATTAGTGAAACACCATGAGGTACAGTTGTAGACTTACAAAGTTTTGTGCTTGGGTTTCAGTTATACAATGATCAATAACCATCCCTTCACCAGTGCCCATTCTCCACTACCACTAATCACAGCACCCCTCCCACCCCCATTCCCACATCACACCCTGCTTTGTAGCAAGGCATTCCCTTTTGTTCGCTCTCTCCTTTTGGTTGCTGTGGTTTGCAAAAGAGGAATTGAGTGGCAATCATGTTCTATCTATAGTCTACTTTCAGCGTGCATCTCCTAACCTGGATCTTCCCAACACCCTTTATTTGGTGCTCCCTACTCTATCTGAGCTGCCTTTCTCCCTAGCATGTGCGGCTGGCCTCTCTAAATTAGTATTTTATGGGCTGGAGTGATAGCACAGCAGGTAAGGCATTGACTTGCACGCGGCCAATTTGGCCAACCTGGGCTTGATTCCTCTGTCCCTCTTGGAGAGCCCAGTGAGGAACCGAGAGTATCTCGCCTGCATGGCAAAGCCTGGCAAGCTGCCCGTGACATATTCAATATGCCCAAAACAGTAACAACAAGTCTCGCAATTTGTTGTGAGATGTTACTCGTGCCCTCTTGAGCAAATGGATGAACAACGGGAGGACAGTGCTGCAGTGCTACAGTGCTAAGTATTTTACAAGTGACTAAAATAACTTATACAATCAATTGTTTAATACATATATGGAAAAAGAATTAGAAATGAATGTAGACAATAGTCTGAAAGAACAATTTTTTCAGAATGTAAATACCTGGAGTTTTGTTCTGGAACACGAGGAAACTTTCTATTATCTGAGAGTAGGAAAAATGTTCTCCAGGGGTCCGAGCAATAGTACAGAGAATACGGCACCTGCATCGCACATGGCTGACCTAGTACCCTATGGTCCCCTGGCCCACCAGGAGTGATTTGTGAGCACAGAGCCAGGAGTAAGCCCTGAGCACCTCGGGAGTGACACAAAAAAGCCGACGACAAGGAAATAAGGTTATCAAAAATTCCCCAGAAAGAGCTAATGAGCCCTAATGGGCCAAATAAAGTTTCCAGCTTTTAGTAACCAATACTACTATTTTTATTTGATGTTATTATTCATTGGGGCTCCCCTCCAGGCTCAGCGCCCCTTTCCAAGACACTGCAGACCTGTGAACTCTCTCCCCAGTTCCACAAATATTTTTAGGTCTTAAGATTTGGGACCAGAGCAATAATGGAGTGGGCGGGGCGCTTGCCTTGCACAGGACCAAGTCAGGTTTGATCCATCATGGGAACCCAGGTGCCCCCCCAAACACTGCTAGGAATAAGCCCTGCATACAGCCCCAACACAAAACAAAACGAAAAGGCATTTTTCTGGGGCGCGGTTCTCTAATTGCCTCGCAGAGCTTTACCAGAATCTCTATCCAAATTCTCTTGGTTCTCCTAAGCCTGAGAGTCCAGCGCTGGCCCAGGGGTTCCACCAGGTGCTGGAACATGGGAGTGCGGGGTTCCCTGTGCCCTCGCCCCCATGCTGTCTCCCCCTTCCTAGTCCTTATTTTAAATTAATCTGGAGCAATAGCACAGCGGGTAGGGCATTTGCCTTGCACGCAGCCAACCCAGGTTCAATTCCTCTGTCCCACTCGAGAGCCTGGCAAGCTACCGAGAGTATCCCGCATGCATGGCAGAGACTGGCAAGCTCCCAGGGGTGTATTCAATATGGCAAAAACAGTAACAACAAGTCACACCATGGAGAAGTTACTGGTGCCTGCTTGAGTAAATCAATGAACAATGGGAGGACAGTGCTATAGTAAATGGTAAATATGAAAAAATATATAAAAATTTATAAAATAAAAATTGTTGAATATTTTTTGTTATTTAAACTTTTTAACAACTAAATTTTTTAAGTAAGATAAAAGCAACAAAACTTGAATTCAGAAGTGTGCGAGTCTGAGGAGGTTGAGAACAGGTTTTTGTCTCACTTCCTTGTGTACAGCAGCTACTGTGGAAAGTGTTAGTACTTGTATATGAGATACAGTAGTAATCTGTCTCATCCTCAGGCTTGAGCCCAGAGATGGTCAGGGTCCCTGTGTTGCCAGACTTGGAGCCAGAGAAGCGATCAGGGATCCCTGATGGCCGCTTATTTACATCATAAATCAGCTCTTTGGGGGCTGTGCCATCCTGCTGCTGGAACCAGGATATATAGTTATGTTTCCCAATGTCATTGCTGGTCCCAGTACAGGAGATGGTGACTGTCTGTCCCTCAGTCCCAGACACTGAGAGAGGTTGAGTCAGAGCAGACTGGGCCCAGGTCCCTGTATAAGGAGAAAATAAAACACTGATAAGTTCAGACTGGTTCTGGATGAACCTGAGAAAGAAAGATAAAGGGAGAGCCCAGATATGCCCACGGTCCATTTCCTGAGCCTCACCTGGGCCCTGGCTGAGGAAGCTGAGGAGGAGAAGAGCCCAGGTCATGATGGAGATGCCAAGAGTGCTGCCTGCTGACACCCCAACCCTGGGCCTGGCTCTCTCCCAGCTATTATCCCTCTCCTGCCCCAGAGAAGGGTGGAGCCTGCATGCAAAGCTGCTTCCTGCACCTGCCTCTGCTCACCCCTCTCTGGCCTGGCCTTGGACTCCAGATGATTCTGCATTACTTTAAAATATCATTATTATTTGATTTTATTTCTCTTTAATTTTTATCTTATTTTGGCTTTCATGGGACCATGGAGGACACTCTCAGTGATACTCTGATAACAGGGCTGACAATTCAATGCCCGGGCTGAGTCGGACTGTGGGCCAAGTACACTCTATAGGGCTGTGGACCATCAGGGCCACCACGGTGGTGCTCTGGAACCCAAGGCCAAACCTAGGAGAGTGATCTGGTGCCAGAGATTGAACCAGCAGTAGACTACCTCTCGCACCTCTGTAGTTCTGCATAGCATAACTATCAAACAAATCTATTCTTGATATACATCTTTCTCATACAAACCTTTTGATACATGATTTGAAGAGGAAAATAGATGTGATGACATCGCATGCATCCATGACCTTCCTACTCTTCTGGGTCTTTGCTTTTGAAGTGACTGCCTCAATGATCAGTCAGTACAGTGTTACTCTAGGAAGCACCCTCTTGTCTGTGCATATATTTCAGGTTCTCAGTGACATTGACAAAGTTAAGTTACCTTTTGTGTAAACTCCTGCTCTTGATGATTGGCTGTCGGTGGTGAGTCTGTCAGTACATGATTGTCACTACCCCAACCACATTTCCCAGCCATAACATAGCCAAGTTATGCTATGTGTGTCAACTCCAAACTTAATGGAGGACAAGCCCAAGGAACAGTATAAGGTGTGTGGTTCCAGGCCAGAAAAGGCAGCCTTGATGAGCACTTGGTACTGAGTGGGGGAAGCTCTGCCACTTGATGTGCAGCTCCAGCGAGCACCATAACTCAATGGGAAAGCACCACTGTCAGTGTTTCTATGCCCCCTGCCCCCCATCGTTTTCCAACCATCTCTGCATATCGAATAAGAGAGAGGGGAGATAATAAACTTCACAGTATTTAAGAAAAAGAAGACTATTATGTAAAGTTAAAAGTATCAGTGAGGAGGTCAGAACACCATTTGCAGCGTCCCCCTACACATACATACACACACACACACACACACCTTATTTCAGATATAAATTCTGAGAGCATACAAGCAACAAATATTCAAATCCCTAAAAATGTGTGTCACAGGAGGGAAACAGGGGAGCCAGGCACATTTTAAATAACAGTGAACTTCCTTTTTCCCTTCTGTGTTCTTGCACTCAAGGAAACACATCCGATTTGGGACAGTCTACCCTTACTTCCCTTTAATACAAACTTGGTGAGAAGCAGTTTTTGAGACTTTTGCGTTTATTTCATGTAAACCACAATAATGATAGTACTATAATAAAGGCCTTTACTGCCCCCTGGTGGCCTGAAATGGCATTACCAAAATTCACAGAAGCCTCAGAATTGAGCTGATTTCTAACATTCTTTTTACTTTCTAGCATCCTCCAAACTTTTCCTTGTCTTTCTCCTCCATGTTTTCTCCTAAATACTTATTAACGGGATTTTTGTTGTTGTTGTTTATGGATAACACCTGGAGGTTGTCAGGATTGATTTTTAGGCCTTAGTTTACTTTTTTTTTTTTTGCTTTTTGAGTCACGCTTGGACATTTACAGGGGTTACTCCTGGCTCTGCACTCAGGAGTTACTCCTGGCGTTGTTCAGGGTACCATATGGGATGCTGGGAATCGAACCAGGGTCAGCCGCATGCAAGACAGACGCCCTAACCTCTGTGCTATTACTCCAGCCCCTTGTTTACTTTTTAAAAATTAAAATATATATATTTTAATGAATCACAGTGAAATACACACTTACAACAGTGTTTATGATTGGGTTTCATCCAAATAATGTTCTAAGACCTGTTCCTTTAATAGTGTACATTTCCTAACACCAATGCCACCTTCTTCTTTTCTTCCTCTGCCCCTTCCTTCTCCTCCTCATCCTCTTACTTCTTCTCCCTCTCCTCCTTCTTCTTCTCATCTTCCACCCCTTCCTCACATTCTGTTTGTCATTCTGGTGTTTCTGGATCTATAATCAAGAATTACTTCTTGTGCATTTGGGTTACTTTTGGGGGGCCCTGGTTTGTTTCCTGATGAATGCTTGTATTATTGTGAAATTACTTTTCAACACAGTTTTTATGGTATCTCATATGTTCTTGTAATTGGTGTCTTCATTATTGTTTCCAGGTATCTTCCCTACTCTATCCCCTGCCCTTAACTTCACCAATATACCAAGGTCCCATACCACCCACTAGGCAGGTGTATAACAAAAGTATTTCATATCAATTCGTCCAATAAAATCAAGAAATCGTTGGTAGAAATATCAGGAAAAGAAATAAAAGTCGATTTATGATGATGAGTTGCTATATATTTTTGACCTTTCTTAATCTAGTAGAGGACAACCAGATGAACCAATAATGAGTGCCATACTAAAGGCCACATGATGGGAAGTTTCTCTGCCCCTTCAAGCAGAAGGTCAAAGGGATCTTTTAACTTCTTTTATATCCTGTTTGAAACCACTTACCCCCTGAATTTTTAAACACTTCTTACAAAATTAGTTTCAAGGCTACTAATTCCCTAAGCTGTTGCTTGTCCATGAAGTTCTGTATAGTTCCTTCAAATCTGAATGAAATCTAGCTGGATAGAGTATTTCTGTGAGGTGTTTATTTCATTGAGTTTTTGTACTATATCCTGACGTATTTGTCTGACTCATAAATTCTAACTTGATAGAACTGCTGTTCATTTAATGGATTTTATTTGAGTGAAAGTTCTGTTTTGATCTTTCTGCATTCAGTATAATTTGAATATATTTGAATTTTGTCATTTAGGGTATGATATATCTTGGATATTTCTTAATTGGATCTATTTTCCCTAGGACCACAGGGACCTTTTGGATCTAGAGGTCTGTAATCCTCAATTCTGAGAAATTCTTATAAATTTCTTTAGTTAATGTTTCTTAACCACATTTTTCTTCCCATTATTCATAGACATCAATGATTTTTATTCTGTTCGTCTTGAGCTGATCCCATTGAATGAAATGTTGTTCATTTCTTTTCTGGGTATTTTCCACCTTCTGCTATTTTCCAGTGGTTTCCCCTTCTCATCTTAGAGCATCTCTATCTTCTGTTCAGTTTCTGTTATTCTGATGTTCAGAGCTTCTTTCAACTTTCTTTTTATATCACCTACCATGTTCTTTATTTCTGTGATTTCTGACTGCAGTCATTTTCTCATTTGGACTTTCATACCTTCTTTTGCTTTGCTGATTACTTGTGCTATCTTTTTTTTGAACTCATTGAACATCCTCATCAGATGCCACATAAAGTCTGTTTGAGGATATATTGCTGTTGTTATGTCTTCAATGATATTATTTTTCATACATTGAGCTTAATGGATTTCTACATGTTTTCCCATTGATGTTCTAGTGGTCTTGTGCTGAGGATGAAGCTTTGTAGTAACACCCCGTGCTCCAGCCCCCACCCCCGGAAGATACTAAAAGATAAAGCTGACTACTGCTCTCTGTCTTTCTGCCCATCTTTCAGAATGACAGGAAGAACAACTGTGAGCAGATGTAATTTGTTGAGCAAAGCTATTGCACAACCACATAAGTGGCCAACAATTCAGCTGTGATGTGAGTCTTTAAAATGACGAAGGTCTAGTGTGGAGGCTGGTAAGACCCACCCTGAAGCAGGGGGCTCTTCCTCCTGTTAAGGCTCTGCCTCTTGTTCCAGAACAGCTCCAGAGATATCATTGAGAGGACGGTATCACCTGGGGTTTTGGAGTAGCAAGCAGAAGGTCAAAGGGATCTTTTGACTTCTTTTATATCCTGTTTGAAACCAATTTCCCCCTGATTTTTCAGTCTAAGTATTTGAGATCCCAGCACCTATTTCAGTTCATGATTGCTTTCACTTTCAAAACAACGTTGTCTGAAAACATAGTTGATCTAACTTTTATTTTCTTGAGTTTATGGAGACAGATGTTGTGTTCCAACATCTTGAAGAATGGCCCTTGTTCATTGAGGAAGAATGTGTACTCCAACTTTGGGTTGTGGGAGAGGTGCAAAGATTAGAAAAGTTTGGTAGACCCATCCCCTCACTTTCCTCCTTTATTACCAGTACTTTCTTTTTGAATTTTTGTCTGGTTGATCTATCAGGGAGTGATATAGTGCTGTTGAAATTTACTACTGCTATTTCATTGCTGTCAGTATCTTTTTTAGGTCTATACAGGTTGATCTAAATATCTTGATGATCCACCATTAGGTAAACGTATGTTGATAGTTTAAGTTTTTTTTTGATATAAAGATCACTTGATCATTACATGATGACCATCTATATAACTTTCATATAGTCTTTCTTATTTTGAAATCTATTTTGATCTAAGAATGGCCACTCCAGCTGATTTTGTTTATCTAATTTGGTCTTGGGGCCACATCTGGCAATGCCCAAGGCAAACTTCTGGCCTGAGAGGTTTTAGAAGCAGTCGGTGCTGGTATAGACTTCCAGGCATCTCTAACCTAGCTTATAAACTTGGTGGACTTGTACACTGCATCCTCATTGTGTCTGTCTGCTGTACTCTGGAGGCTGTGAATACAGTTCTGATTTTGTAATACCAAGTCAGAAAACCTCAACCCCAGCTAGCTGGTAAAATAACATCTCGATGTGCAGTTTGTATTCCTGTTGAACTCTTTGTCTTTCCGAATATTTAGGGGTGGTCTTTGGTCCTAACAGTAATTATGGTATATGGGTAGGAAATGTCTTATAATTTTGTCCGCATAGCAGCCTCTAGCATGGTGGTGGTGGGGTAGTGGAGGTCGGCCGCCAGGGATGGGCCCCTTGGGTCAGGGATGGATCTCGCTCGCCCCCTCTGGGGCACCCCAAGTGAAAACAGCCTGG